GAATACTCACAAGAAAAAACGCAAAGAAAAACGCAGAAATTCGCATGGCTTGACGCCTAAAAACAGGGAGAAATTGAAGTGTAATTGTTTTAGGATTTGGGAAGTAGTAACGAGTAACGCAACTACGTTAACTGAAATAGTAACATAAGTACGTTGCCTGTCACTGTTTCGAAAAAGTAACAAGTACGTTACTACGTTACTGAAAAAAGTAACGTGTACCTGGTAACGCCGTTACTTCTAAGGTGTTACCGCCAAGACTGCAGAACGGACAAAGCGTTGCTGCTTGTCATGCCTTGTAGTCATGAGGGTAGGTTAAAATACCGTACCTTGACTTGAAGACGCTGTGTGTATTTAATCAACTAACAAATACACTTCCGCAGACCCACAGTCTGCTGATCCCGCCGGCAGTGCGAAAACCGACTCGAAGTAATCGGAGGCCTCGAGAGACTTGTACGCCTGCACCATGTCGGCCGTGAACTGGTTATGCCCCCCCCCCCCCCCCTCGAAATCTTCCATTTTGCTGGGACCCTCCCTTCCCCCCTCGCCCTCATACAACATTTTGTGATGGGCTGCCCCCCCCCCCCCCCCCCCCCCCCCGAAACTAAATCCTGGCTACGTGCCTGCTAGGTTCTGTCCCCCAGGGGGTCCGATGTCGGGGTAACGCCGACTAGGTTCGACCGGAAAAAGAATTCGCGGCTCCCTCGCCGGGGGAAGAGGCGGGTGGTGCGTGTTTTTGAGTGTTATTGCCCGCTCTTCCAAAGGTCTTCCTAGCGATCACCCCTACGACCTGGAAATAGTTAAACAAATGAAGGAGCTACTCTTTTTTTTTTTAAGGTGCTAGGCTCGGTAGCGCAAGCCATCAACCATTGCGAAGGGTACAGTTGGTAATATCCATCCATCTATCCATCCATCCAACGCCCCCTACGCAGGAAGTCCATACAGCGGTAAAACTTCAGACCCGCACAGATGTATGCAGACTGCAAGGGTGCACAATGCGGAAGGCCTAATAAAGAAAGTTTTCATCAACAGCGTCCTGGCAGCGCCTTGCCCGTTTCCAGCCCATTCGCGAAGCAACAACTGTGTGCACGAGAACGGGAAGGTGCCGATTAACTTTCACCCGATCCAAGGTACAGCCCACGGGGAAGAAAAACAAAGCGGCGTCGATTACCTCGCGCTGCCTCAGGTCAGAACGAGTCCGAATGTAGAGTAGAGCGCGTGGATTTCTTCCACGCTTCCTCGAGCCATAGGGCATACTTTGTCCGGCCCACACTCGCCAACCCGTACAAACTGATCGCTTGCAAGAAAATAAATGTTGGTGTAAACGGAAAGCTAAACAACGAAGGCGTGCCTCAATGCTCCTTTTTTTCATCGCGATCCGTAACCGAGTTTTACGAGTAGGTATTTGGGTGAAAATTAAATGTCAAAATCAAGCTTTTCCGCAAAGTGAGCGTGCGAGGCAGAGGTGGACCAATGGCCAAAACGATTGAGCGTATAACGGAGTTCCACGGGCTCCATTAATCGGATCAAATTTGGTGTTGTGTCAAACGAACGCAAGGTATCTGGCACGCGGATGACCGAGAATTCATTTCGACGGAATCTTTTAACGTGCCAACAAAATTTCGGTTACAGGGATGGTGACTTTTCCGCAATAAGCCTCCGTCAAATGTCGGGCACCTCGGCCGGGATTTGAACCCGGCACCGAAGAAGGCCAGCGTTTTGGCTCAGAGTTATCGAGATCCCATGGGCACCCGATCCTTACACTATAGATGTCACCGCAATATGCATGTTTACTCCTTAATTATATAAAAATTTGACTCGGAAATCGCATATTACGAAGAATCATTTCTGTGGTCTCAACATATGAAACCATACTAAAACGGAAAGTTAGGCTAGTTGGTATGAATCCATATTGAAAAACAGCGCGAATAACACACGGACAAGGAGAAGAAAACAGCGCCTCGTCCTGTGTGTTCTCTCCTCCGTGTCCGTGTGTTACTCGCGCTGTTTTTCAATATGAAACCAGTATGAAGGCCACAGGATTTGTACTCGTTTTATCCATGGTGCATCAGAATGAATGCAGCAGTCGATAGCTTCTAGGTTTAGCACTCTTCAGACTGGTCAACATTTGAGCTATGACTTATGTCTTTCTAAAAATGCAGCGCGTGCGCTGAAGTGTACGTAAATTAATTGAAGAAGTTCAACGTTTTGCATTGTAGCTAAGTGAGAGTGCGGTTGGCGATACGAATGGATGTGGCCAATCGGGCAGAGCTTAAAGCGTACAACCTTACTGCTTTCGTCGTTTTTCGCTTTATCTCATCGAATCATGTATCATCAATGTAACTTCCCCATTGAGAATATTTATTTGCAGATGATTGCGCGGTGTAGACGTGTATGAAGAAGGGGGAGGGCTCCAGGCAACAGCAGGCTGACCTAGATCAAAGAGAACATTGGTGCGAAGAAAGGCGGTTGCAACTTGACGTAAACAAATGTGTTCATGTTAGCTTCGCACGTGAGAAAAATAAGTTTTAAACACAGAATTACTTATAATATGAGCTAGTAACGATGAGAATAAGGTAAAATACCTCGGAGTCATTTTGTCATCCGACTGCACGTGTGATTCGCAGATTGATGATGCCATTATGAGGGCGGGTCGCGCACTTTTTTGTTCAAAGAAACCTGAAAAATGCTACGCAAAATATAAAAGAACTAGTATATTTTGCCTATGTACAGCCAATTCTAGATTACGCATGCACTGTGTGGGACCCTTCCAAAACAAAATCGCATTGATGGCTTGAAAAAAATACAAAAATCGTGCTGCACGCTTCGTCCTGGGCCAGTACGACCGTTGTTTTAGTGTAACTAACATGAAACAATCACTAGGATGGTGGTCATTGGATCTTGGGCGAAAATATTTACGGTTAAAATTTGTATACAACATTTATCATGAAGCTACTGGTATTATTAATGATCATGTGCTCAAGATACTCGAATACTCTACCAGGACGGAGCTCTGTGAAAATTTGTCTTGTCAGGACAGGTCAGAGACTGGACATAAATGTATAGTTTGTGCTGCAAATCCTGAAACTTTTTTTTCGTTATTCTTGGCCCCGTGCCATATTGCCGCTGCAGGAGTTCATTCTTACACTGTACACCCTTTATTCTCCGAATAAAGAATGTACAGGGAGCGCGCCGTGACGTCTCTGCGTTTGCGTTTCCTTTCCCTGCTTGTTTCGCCCCGTTCTTTTCCGTGACCTGGACTTGCCTAATCGTGACGTCACAAGTTGTGAACCTTGCATCCCATCCGTAGACTTTGTATCCACACCCAAAGCGCATCCGGAAAATTCGGAACCGCATCCCACCCTCAATCTGCGCATTCATGTCACAGTTACATCATGAAATCGAGCGAGACTTAAAATAAACAGCGTCTGGAATACCTCATAAGCTGTTTGCTTTGTGCAGTGGACTCTTCGAGTCAGAACGCGGGGAAAGTAAATTTATCGTATTCAGTTTCATCGCATATGTATTATAAGCGATCATCCTTCCAGAGATACTTCGTGTCGCTGGAAAAAATGATCGCAGTTCTGAGATCGTCCCAGGAGTCAGCGACACTCTGTCCAGAAGATCCGCTCAAAAGAAATAACTTTTTGTTCATAATTTTTTGTTCCTTGTTTCTTCGTAGCACCCACTTTAAGTAGACGCGTATTTTCTAAATATGAAAATCAATGAAGGACAAACTATTAACATTGTGTAATTTTATTTAGGTCATACGATAAAAATGTGGGAGAGGAAAGGCGCTCAATCACCGCAGCGAAAGTACTCGCATATACGTGGTACGACGCCAGATACACCGCTGCTACAATCTCCCAATATTCAGTAAAGGCAACACCTGTGGGTTTCCGTTTTATACATGAATCCGCACCTGCGTTCTCCGAGCCACATATGTACCCAACTGTCAAAACACACACACCGCCCCGTTTTATTTGTTGAGGGGGCTTCTACTTTCTTGCGGCTTGTACGTGTTCGGTTGTTTTTTTTTGCCCAAAGAACATTTTCCGCTCTTTCGCTGCCAAACAATAACACGCTTTCTCAAGACAATTAATGTCCCTGCATTTTTTTTTTTTTTTTTTTTTTGAGGGACAGAAATTTTGGCGCAACTGAACGATCTAAAGCGATTTTTGGTGAGAATCAGGTATTTCTTGGCGTGAAGACCACTTTTCTCTCCTATTGATACCTTCTTTCTAAGATAGTAATTTGCTCCCAAAAAAAACATTCGATGATGCAGTTTATAGTCTCACTTACCTTTTCACTGAATATTGTGCGGTCGCACACGTTTATGAGCCGCTTCGGCAAAAGATGTAGATCCGGACCCGCGCGCGGATATCCGCCTCCGATCCGCTTCCGCAGCCCCTACCCCTAGCAAACGCATTCGATCCGCAATCCGCCAAATCTGATAGTTTTGTGTGCATCCCCGAGTTGACTGCGGATATCCGCCGATGATCCGCGGGGTAACCCGCCGATATGCAGGGCTCTGCATATCAGTTGAGAACTTCCAAGTTTGATGGCGTGCGTAAAAAGCACGTTGCAAGCTTGGAGTCATGGAAGCCGTCGAAGTTCACATTCTCACATTGCTCCTTTTTCCGTCGATAAAAGCCAAATTTATTCTTCTAAAGATGTCATAGTGAGCTTCACAAAAACAATTAGCCCGAAAGACAAATGACAAGTTTAAGATTGGACAAGACAACCGCTTGTCCTGGTAACTATCTTTCGCGCGAAATGTTTTTGCGGTGCTTAATCAAGTGAGCCATCAACCTGTATTTTCATAATCGTTTGTCCATCGTAAAAACATGACCTCAGCGAAAATTTTAGGCGCGCACGTCGCCGACAGTCTCGTTTAGTGGCTGTTGCCTCTCTAAAAGTGCGAATTGACTACGGGTGTATGGAAAATAATTACGCTCGAAGCAATTCTAAAAACCTGCTGCCTCATTCCTGACCCCCCACAGGGAAAGCGCGCTCCTCCAGGCTCCCCGTGGCCGGCACCGCAAGCCTGGAAGGCGTCTACCCTCCAGAGGACCCTGGACCCCGAATCCTTCATCCTCACGTCCGACGCCGCAGAGGAGTGCGACGTAGTTTCCAAGGCCCTGGCACGCTACCACAAGCTGGTGTTTGTCAACCGGCCCATGAGCGTGGACAACGAGACGCTCAAGGACGTGCTGCCAGCCCTCAGAGTGCAGGTGGACAAGTACAAAGAAGAGCACTGCATGTACCCGCAGCACAAAGATGACGAGAGCTGTGCGTTCACTCTCCTTCTTGTCTTCTCACTGGTGTTCAGAAATACTGCGTAAACAAATCCTTGTCCCCTTAAAAAAAAAAGAAAGAAACGCGAAAGGTACATTGTTTTTATTTCTTATTTATTTAGCAATACTGCTAATCTCTCAAGGAGATTTTCGCAGGTAGGAACAACAAAAACAAACAATACATAGGGAACGATGAGAGGAGCAGACACGTAGAGTATACACTCTAAGAAAAAGTTTGTGCGTCTACTTTCACGCACAACCCTCGGAGAGCCAATCGCCGCAACTTACAGAGGCAGCTCTGCGAATGACACTGCCGAAACGTATGTTTAGACCAAAAAATGCAGTCTGAGTTGTGACATTAAGCAATGCAAAACGTCACGCTTGCATTGCTCAATGTCACAACCCAGATCGCCCTTTTTGGTCTAAACATATGTTTCGGCATTGTCATTCGCTGAGCTGCCTCCGTAAGTTGCGGTGATTGGCTCTCCGAGTGTTGTGCGGGAAAGCAGACGCACGTGCTTTTTTTAGAGTGTACAATCGATGCGTAAAATGAACGACACCGATCAAATCATTCGAGACGTGCAGCAAACCATTGAACACATTCCTCGCCAACTGTTTCCCCGGGAAGCCCGTTGCACTGCTCCACAGTTCGTGGGAAAAATTGAACCTTAAAACAATTATAACGACTTTTAAATGGGACTATGGAGAAACTATGCCTTCGTCTAGTGCAGTAGCCCCATGAAAAAGAAAAAAAAAATTTAATCATTTAGCTTAATTTTATAACCTCCGTTAATTATTTGATATAGAACTTTTAATCTGCATTTCTGATTGCTTTCCGACTGTGACTAACGCCATCTCCATGCACAACACTAGGAAGTGATGTCCTCCCACGCACGCGTTAAAATAAACCTTACAGCTCTATTTTGAGCCCTAACTAATTTCGCTGTTTCGTTTTGTAAGGGGATCCCAAATAAAGTTACCGAATTCCAACATCGGCCCAATGATAGTTTTATAAGCTAGTAATCTAGTATCTGAGTTAAAATATATGTAAGTTCTTTTTAAGAAAATAACTTACGAAGACAATTGGAAGAAACATAATCACTGTGCTTGTTCCAGCTTAAATTGCTGGCCATCTAAAGTTCTATATATTTGCATTCTGAAACCTCCGAAAGGTTCTGATTATATAACGTATATTTAAATTGGTGGGTGTTCGTTTTATGAGTTACATACGAAAACCTGGGTCATGGCCCAAAATTTACTCGATCTTACTCCAGGGTAAAGGCCCGTTCACACTCTTGCGACCGAGTACGACCGAGAGAGACCAGACCGGTTTTTAAGCCTCTTGCGATCTCTTAGGACCAGCTCCGCTGCTGCGCATCCGGTCCTAAGAAGTCGCAAAAGGCTTAAAATCCGGTCTGGTCTTAAGGCCCGTTCACACTCTTGCAACCTCTTAAACCTGGGTTCCTTAAAACTTCTTAAACCGGAGAACACACTGGCGCCATCTATTGAGAAGCAGTGTAAACTCGGCGGTCCGGCATATCTTTTTTTATTTCTCGCGCATTATCCTTTCTTTTTTGGCTCGAAAAACTTTTGTCAATGTTATAAACGAGCCTTTCTATGGGTATTACGCACATTTGACCTCGGAAATCCCGCAAAACCTTCGCTCTTGTGAAATGCAGTTCCAGGGTCACCGCATAGATGACGCCACAATGCCAGTGTGTTCCGTCATTCTGAAAACATTTAAGAAGTTTTAAGAGATCTCGTCTCTCTCAGTCGTACTCGGTCGCAAGAGTGTGAACGGGCCTTTACTCGGTCGCAAGAGTGTGAACGGCGCTTAAGGGTTTTGTAGCTTCGCGTTTCAAAGCCTACCCGCGTCCAGCGCTTTTCAATCTGTGATGTCACGTGACACGACCCGCCGGAGTAACTCGGATCCATTTGGGTAAGATTTGGAACACAGCCCTTTTAATCGGAATTTATGCGCATCTGCTAAGAGCGGCACCACTTCACAATCAAATCCAGAACTTGTTTCAACCTGCATTGATCACTAGAATCCTTTACCTTGTAATAAAAGCGCGCAATTATCTGCAGATCATCTCACTTCCGAAAACATTTCATGCGCAATGTCATTAAAAAAAATTAAAGAGGTCCCAGAACCGATCGTTTGGGAACCTATGAATCAATAAGTAGAAGAGGAATTATAATCGAAGTAATGTTGTCGGTTAGAGAGGTATGCCACAATGATCGAAGTTGTCGAGCTGATAATTTTTTTTTTAGAACATCGCGTAACTTATTATGCGAGAACGTGTCAAAACCAACACAAAATAAAAAAACACATTGATTTCCCTACCTCTATTTATAGCTGATGCAAATTTACGGGTAATTACAGCTAACTGTGCGCTTGTAAAAAAAAAAAAGGCACTTAATCCGTGATTTTCTTTGTCAAAACACCGTCATCGAGAAATTCCACAACATGTCTATGCATTGCATATTCTAGCAGCTTGCGCATTAACGAGTAATTATTTAAACATAGGGTGTTTTTTAAGGCTTTACATACTTGTCCTAAAAAGGTGTTAAAGCTACGTTAATGCGGTGTGTTCAGGTGAGTTATACGTTTGAGGGACAGAATATAGGGGAATAATTGGTCGCGATGAATGGGTTAATTAACTTCTAATGATTGGAGATAAAGATATCATTCCAATGATACATTTGCTGAGGGTCTTCAAAACCCTTTATATGAGTACATTTTAGGAATATTTTGGGCGCGTGGGAGGCTCGATGGTTTCCCAGGCGTGTAACAGCTGCGCGACGCTAGGGATGCGAAAACGCGGCTCTAATGTCTCAATTATCATTCCCGTTTTATCACAGCCAATATTGCGCCCGTTGCAGAAGTGGAGCTCATGCGCGGTGTCAGGAAGCCCAAAAGATATTATCTCCAGGACGGTTGTAATATTTCTGTACGACGAGAAACCGTTTCCTGTGATTTTTGATAAAAGTTGAGATAACTGGAAACAATGATTTTAAGCACCAAGGGAGCTGAACTGTGCTCAGTGACTCTATTGTTCTTCCGGAAGTAAGTGCAGGCGTCTGCCGGTATCTGGTTAAGAACAGTGCACCAAGCAGCATTGGTGGTCGCCATGTGTTAAGGGGGGGGGGGGGGGGGGGGGGGCAATGGCATACCCAGAAAAAACAATTTCTGAAAAAAAAAAGGTTGATTTCGAAGAATGCCATATTTACATCCACCAAAATCTAGAGAGTATTCCCAGAAAGTTTCATTAGTTTACGGTGCATTGTTAATTTTTTTATACATTATTTTCGGTCCACCGAAGGGAAAGGGTAGAGGTTAAAGCACTTTGAAATCATTTCTCTCCGTTCCACTTTTTGATATAAATTCCATTTTAGTCAATCTAACGTTTGTTAAAAGGAAATGCTCACCCATTGTTTTTCCTAACTGAAATTTTATGGGAAATACCACTGCGAATTTGTTTTTCGTTTTTACTTTCTGGGCGTATTTTACAAAAGACGTTAAGATTTTGTTGACGACATCAAAATCTAAAAGTTTATTTTATTTTTTACTGCGATGTAGCATAAAATAAATTAATTCTTGGAAATTTTTCTTTCACAGTTCCTCTCTCCAGGCATTCTGCTGCAGATCTAGTGAAGAAAAACGTTGGATATTACATTAGGTTTCTAACGATAGTTTTACTGAACAAAGTAAGTGTGTTCCTGGTTTAAACCGACTACAAGTTATTTTACAATTCATGTACACAAATGAAATTTCGCACTGCATTCTTCCTCGCAACTGCCAGTATATAGTGTAAATTTCATTCATACTCAGCCAAAGGTTCAAAAGGGTTGTCTTGGGTTGTGTCCCCCTTAAGAGGATATCGCAGTAGAATTTTATCTCCGATAGGGACTTTTCCAGAATCCAGATGGCACTGGGGAGGAAGCCTTTCCACTCAACTGCTTACGCGATATTGTCACAAATGACAAGGCGACGAACAAGGAATAAGCGAGGAAACTGAAACGTTCAATGGGGTGAACTTGTGCCCAAAAACAAAGAAGGAAACAGAAGCTAACAGCAGAACGTCGCGGGCGTCGAAGTCGGCGTAACAGCAGAGTCGAACGCTGGGGCGAAACTGACTCTGGCTCGCTACGCGAAGCCCCTTAAATACACGCGTGGGCTTCTGAAATAATCGGCGCAGAAAGTTGGACGCGTAGAACATTCGGACCTCGAACAGGCACCAGGATTCTCAAGTTTACCAGAACACTAAATTTCAGGGATTGCAGCGACTTATAAGACACCTCGCTCCCAGGAATCGAACCCTGCCTTTTCGCGTGGGTCGTCTTTTAAAAATAAAAAAATAGAAATGAAGAAAAAGCTCGTCTTTTTGCTCCGGCTATCACCGGACGGCTTGACCCTGAAAGCCCTCCGCCCTGCGAGCGGCGAGAATGGCTTTGTAGGCCATCGCGAAAGGCGCGCTTTGTCCCGTTCTTACCACATTAGGAAGAAAAAAACGCAGTCAAAGAACGCCTCTGTTGAAGATTGTAAAGAATTTGACGCTCACGAAAAAACGCCAAGAAGAATGGAACAACATAAGCGAAACGAGGCGAATGACAGACAGAAGCCGATCGAGACATTTCTGTGTATTAAAAAACAAATACTTCCGACCGTATATAACAATATCAACAATTTACAAGTAGACATTTCCTCTCCTATGCGGGAGACATCGAAACCCGGAGAAACGCTCACCGGAGAAAAGCTCACCGGAGAAAAGCTCACCGGAGAAAAGCTCACCGGAGATAAGCTTACCGGAGAAACCCTCACCGCAAAACCGGCAGAGCGGAAAAAAGCTCACCAGCCATTGAGCGCATGCGGAGTAAAGCTCACCGATTTGTTTTTCTTCTTTTTATATGGAGGCTGTTGGATCACGCGTAACATATATCAATTTATTATCATCAATTCGCTAACTTTGTAAAAAAAGAAAATGTCTTTTTTTGTATTATTTGTTAAGCTTACTGGGTATATTGCTCCCAAATTTAAAATTCCTGGCGAGTGTTTTCTGTGGTTTATTCTCTAGGTAACCAAAGCTTAACTGAAAATTTTATGAACTTGAAGAACAGGCAAAAGTTAGAAAACTTTTTAATTCTACCTAAAACCTGACTGAAAACCGGCATCGTCTTTCAGGCCCGTGGGATCTTCAACGGTTCCGATATAAAAAAAAAAGGTTCGGATCGAATGCCGAAGTCACGAATCTCGGAAGAAAAGCTAATAGAAGAAAATCTCATCGCGAGACCGACCGACGCGGAGGAAAGCTCATCGGCCTCTTGATGAATATGGTGGGAACTCACCTACGATTTTCGCTTTCGGAAATGGCATTCTTTTGGTATATGAATAATAACAGCATTATTTTCCGTATTTTTTTTTATTTGTAGTAACTTATAATTTCTGGTGTGATGGGTCCTGACACAATTTGGGTGCAATGACCGGGACGTTTCGGCACGTGTTGTGTCAGTGTGGCTTCAATTGACTTGGCGGAAAAAGAGTTAGTGTTCTTGCGGTCCGTGGCGGGGCCGCCGATTGGTTGAGATGTGGTGTGGTGACGCAGTGTGTTTCTACGCTGAGGCTCTTGAATTAAGTCAGTTGAAAGTTAGCGCTCTGTGGTGTCTGTTCTTCCTATGTCCTTGTCTTAAAGCGCAATCATGTTTTCTCACGTACAATACCAACTCACCCAACAATCAGCACTTGTCGACCTTAAAGATGCAAGTAGTCCGGGGCGCAATAACACATTGCACAATTTCAAGAGGAAGTACCGCGGTCACACTCATAGATGGCGCCTGCTGACAGCTAGATTTCTGACGTTTTGATGGGCTACAAACTTAGTTAAAATTTATCACCATAAGCATCTCTAATTTATCACCAGGACTTTTTGAATATATCTTTTACAAGATATATTTAAAAACTCCTGGTCTTGAATATGGTCGCGTCTAAATTTCTATTTAGGCCCCGGTTTATTTTTAAACGCTTATGAAGAACGGAACGACAAAAGGGGCTTTTTCAGGCACCTTTAAGTTCCCGTAAAATATTTCAGCTTAAAAATCGGGAAATCTAGCACCGCAATATTACTCAGCTTTTTTTTTTTTTTTTTTTTTATTATCTTTCTATTGCAGCCATTTCCAAGCCAATCCGTTCGGTGGTTCTTGAGAAAAAAATGCTAAAAAGTTGCCATTGGAATTGCATACGGCTCGGGAGCTGCGACATCCTCTTAAGCGCGAAGCGTGTTATTGAATCCCGGTTGGGTGCTGACACAGCCTTTAATGCATGCTCAGGGTACGTTCCCCAGCAATGGTGGATAATTGGTGCAAAAGCTACCAGACGGCGCTATCTTTTGAACAGGTTGTATTCTGAGCCGTGTGGAACTTACATTCTGCAGATACGCTCGTAGTACCGGAGGAAGGAGACGCCCAGCTGCGGTCGAAAACTGTTTGGGGAGCCCTGCGAGGTTAGTCACTCAATCCTTTTGAATCGTTTTTAAAACTCTAATAAATCTTCTGTTTTCGAAATATTCCAGGTTTGGAAACTTTCAGCCAGCTCGTGTATCAAGACCCCGTGACCAAAACTGTGAGTTACGAACGCCACCCTCGCAGTATTTTCTTAGCCGATGAACCATAGTTTCAAAGTATGCGCCGAAAATGTCCATACGTTATTCGTGACCGTGTCCGAGTTCAACAACGGATCATCATGTTACGTCGGTACTCGATGATCCTATCCTTTTTGCCGAAGTGTCCAAGTTTATTGGGGTGTCTAACTCACAGGGATGTAATATAAACGTTTGAGGCGAGTGTTTCTGTTCTATATATTGTTGAGGCGTCGGTATAAGGTCATTTAATGGGGGATGATCGTAACGGGCATCGGCTCACCGAGCTCGGACTTGGCACGGGTTCTACTTTAAGCTCTACCGCCATTGGCGGTACCGCGGAATGTGAATGTCTTTCCCGCCATTGACATGCATTCTACAATGAATGTGAATGGTAAAGCTTAAAGCAGAATCTGTGCCGAGCTCGAGCTCAGTGAGTCCGTGCCCGTTGGCGATGTGACTTCTTCCTTAGAATATCCCCCCACCGTTTCCAGCGTCGACCATCTGCCCCGTGTAAAAAGAAATATTGGTGGCATTAGGGCTTCATGCGGCTGATGTGCACCACGTCCGAAGACCAAGAACATTGGTCATGGGACGGCGTTACAAACACGACTTCATAATTAGTTGAGAAGAGTTAATTGTCGGACAATACGAAAAGGGCCAACGATCTGTGGAAGAACTTCTCGCATTTGCCCGGTGCGCGCTGGCGAGTACACAAGAGGACTGTTATAGGCAGCTGGGAGGTGGCAGTCGACGTAGCATAGTTTTTTTTTTAGTGTTGAGGTTTTAAGTTGCGGATATGGGCGAGTTAATAGTCGTTTTCTTCTCCTGAGATAATCTCCTCTGCGCACGGTTGAACGAAGTGGTCAAGTCAGTAGGGCAATATTGTGTCAAGAGGCGTGAGTGGTTCGGAGACGTAGAGCAGACACTAGTAGACTGTCGTGCAGCATTGTATGCGTAGGCTACGTAGGGGAGAATGGTGCTCCAGTCATCGTGATGATCGGTGACATACATCCAATCCATGTCAGCGATAGTATGGTTGAAGCGCTCGGTTATTCCGTTGGCTTGGGCGTGGTAAGCTGTTGTAATGTTGTGAACTGTAGAAGAAAGGAGCGGGACATCTTCGAGTACGTTGGATAGAAAGGGAGTGCCTCGATCGCTCATTATGTATTGTGGGGCTCCGTGACGCATCAAAATCGAGTGGATAAAAAAAAATGTGCGACTTCATGGGCGCTATAGCGGCCGGAACAGACGCCGTCTCCGCATAGCGGGCCAAATGATCGATAGCAACAAGTATCAATTGGTTGTTTCGGGTGGATTGTGGAAATGAAACAAGGAAGTCGAATTCGATGCGATTAAATGGGCGGTGTTGTTGAGGAAGAGGTTTAAAGACAACCAGGAGGTTTTGAGGCAGGACGTTTCTTGGTCTGGCAGGAGTCGCACGCTCGGACGTACTTGTTGATGCTGATGCTGGATAAAGTCGCAACACTGCTGTATTTGTATTAAAACCGACCTCGTCAATAACATTTGCGACTTCTACGTCGCTCAACTAAGCTTTCTTTTTTTTTTCTTTTTTTTTTTTACGCAGTACCTCATCAACGTGACTTCCGTGGACGACTTCCCGAGGTTTTCATTCAGAGGCCTTCTTCTCGACTCGTCGAGGCATTTCCAGCCCGTCAAAGTGCTCAAACAGAACTTGGTATGTATAACCCTCGCCTTATGCAAAAAAGAGTGACATCTAGTGTACTAATTATCAATTATCAAGTTTAGGCCACATTGCAAGATGGATATTTTCACTCGAGAGACACAGGTCGCGGCAGCAAAGGGGAAACCGAAGCCTGAAGGGCACCCACTTTAAAAATTACGCCCTCTTACGGACAGTCTAAAAATACTGCAAAGTGGCGAGCGCAAAAACAACAGAAATGGCAAGTTTATCAATTATATACAGTCTCCTGGAAGTGAGTGTTAAATCAGTATCCTAGAAACTCACTTTAATGCAGATGCGCCTCATTCACAAATGAAAGATGCAAAAACATTCTAAAATGACTACTCCAAGTGGTATGACGATATCTAAGATTTTTTAAGTGGCCTTTAAGTTAACCCGTTTCGTGTGTGTTTACTCCGAACCACAGGATGCCATGGCTTACAACAAGTTGAACGTCTTCCATTGGCACCTCGTGGACGACCAGTCGTGGCCTCTCCAGATGGCTGTGTACCCCAACCTCACGCAGGTACAAATGCCGAGTAATTCCAAAAAAACGTGCTGGGCTTTCCACGTTCAGTCAGCACACGGCATGTTGACAGTTGCCCTGTATACACGTTTTCAGAGTGCATACTCCCCTAAGCATGTTTACTGCCGCAACGAGGTTCAAGACATCATCGAGTACGCGAGGCTCCGGGGAATCCGAGTCATCCCGGAGATCGACACTCCTGGACACACGCAGGCACTGGGAAAGATCTTCCCCGGTAAGCTTTGCCAATCTCCACGTTACTTGGACGGACCGTCGGCTGCACTGTGTGTGCTGATCACTTCTTAGCCTTGTGCATGCTCACGTGCAGACCTTCTGACCGCTTGTTACGGCAACGGAACCCGGGGCACGCCCAACTACCCGGAGCACGCTGCGTTCGAAATGCTGGACCCAACGCAGAACTACACGTATGACGTGATGAGAGACATCTTCCAGGAGGTGGTGGAGACCTTCCCGGATCCGTACGTGCACCTGGGAATGGACGAAGTCTACTACGCCTGCTGGTGCGTACTGGTCGACACATAGGCGTGTCTGTGTTTCCAATACTACCTAAATATATTAACAGCACAGACGCCGTCGGTTGTCGCACTCATCATGGGGAGGACTTGTGCTCCTGTGCAGTGCGACAGCTCCTTACGGTACCAAAAGCATTCTAAATCTCTCTATTTAGGAAGTGAGAACGGCACGGCGTGTGTTTCCAACTTTTTCGTGCCTTGGTTGTGCGTGCACAATCGAAGCTCGTGAGACCGTAAGGCGTTATCGAAAGTAGGAAGCTAGCGCTGGAGATGAAACCCCGCCCTTCTCACTTTGCCAGTCAACGAAACACAAAGTCGACGACGGAGAATAGTTTTAAAAATAAAGATTTTGTGTTTTTAGACTACAATTATCAATTTCGAACTGTACATAATATCGTACACCGCGCGACACTGCTAACGAGAACGCGACATCGGCACGTTGTCGCATTTTGCTTCGATAGGCATCTGTGGGCTTCGGATTTTACCGCTTAGCTTAGTGCCGCGAATTCGCATATACCTCACCGCATCGGAAGTTTTTGGTGATGTTCGAAAAGACCTCCGAGAGAAATAAACAAAATCGGGCAATTACTCGTTTTTAATGGTGTTTCGCAGCGTACATTTATCTACGTTTCATGAATATTTTGAGGGTTCTTTTTTTTTTTTTTTTTGTAGATAAACTTGTATTTTTTGCCATTTTCTTTTTTCGCGTGTATAGTGGTTTGACATTCCAAATCTTCCTCATTCTTGCTACGTTTACAGGAACTCTAGCCCCGAAATCGCGGCGTTCATGAAGGAGCAGGGCTTTGACGCCGTGAACCAAGTGGAGCAGTACTACGTGAAGAGGACTCTGGACAACGTTCAGAACCTCGGGGCCAAGTACATGATCTGGCAGGATCCCATCGACAACGACGTTAAAGTACGCATCTTCCGCTACTCGCGCCGCTTCGGTCAACTCCGTATACCAGAGCGTTTCTTTACTCGTCCAAGGGTCGTCCCTTTATTGAACCAAAACTCCGATGCCAGAAAAAGACTTCAGTTATTTTGTGACACTAAAGCCAAGGTCACACTGCTCGTACATCAAACAAAAGACAGCCTGCATACACGAATCACAGTTAGAATGCCGCGTGCCGAGGTTCCTCCTTGAACTCATTGCCACGCGGCATTCGAGGCACGAATCTCGCGGTGACTTGCGTTCCAATCTCTATGCAAACTGTCTTTTTTATTGACCCTTTTCCTGTTTCCAAACATGAACCGCTGCTTGCTTCTCAGGCGACTTCCAGCCACTCTGTCTTTGCAAGCCTGTCGAACTAGCTATGTGAGCAGTGGTAGAAAACATAAATGCTACACGGACAACAATTTCGTGATTTAGCGAAGGGCTTCGGCTGTACGATTTAACGTCTTATACCCTTGTTACACGGGCACACTTAACTGCAGTTATGCTGAGCCACAGTTAGCGCACAATACTTGCCGACAACATTCTGCGGCTATGCAATCAAAGCTATGGGCGAACGTGCGATTGAGCATCTTGAGCATCTATCGAAGCAGTGGAGGCGCGCTCTTCACTTATTATGGAATAGCTGTCCGAGAGTATAGTGCGGTATCTGTGGTGCAGCGCAACAGCGGTTAAGCTGAGTTAACCGCGGTTAAGTGTGCCTGTGTAATACCCCTATTACACGGGCACACTTAACCGCGGTTAACTCAGCTTAACTGCTGTTACGCGGCCCCACTGATACCGCACTATACTCTCGGACAGCTATTCCATAAGAAGTGAAGAGCGCGCGTGCACTGCTTCGATGAATGATCAAGATGCTCAAGCGCACGTGCGCCCATAGCTTTGACTGCACAGCCGCCGAATGTTGTCAGCAAATATTGTGCGCTAACTGTGGCTTAGCGTAACTGCAGTTAAGTCTGCCCGTGTAACAAGGGTATAACAGGGGTATAGGGAGTATTCACTGGCGGCCATATCCGTGTGCGCTGCTGCTGAGCGCGTCCTGACGGCGCGCTTCCGCAGTCCTTTTGGAGCGTGCATTTAGCACCATCGAGGTTGCCGGTCTTAGCAGGCTATTAATGTGAGCTTGTTCTAAGCATGCGCTCTAAACATCGCCCTCAAATATGGCGTCCAATGAATACCTCCTATTAGAGGAGACAAGTTGGTTCATAAGAATATTCGAAAATTCTAAACAAATCTCGCACTTCTTGATTCTTTTGGCGTTTGCCTGAAGAACTGGTAGTTAAACGCTTCATCGATGTTTCAAGTAGCGGCGTTACGATGGGTTTTGTTCATTCTCTTTATAAACCGGAAGTTCGCTGGGACGTCAAAGGCTGGAGCACCGCCAGGTGGCGTTTACAAAGGAAAGGGTCTATAGGAGGTATTCACTGGACGCCATATTTGAGGGCGATGTTTAGAGCGCATGCTTAGAACGAGTTCACATTAATGGCCTGCTAAGACCAGCAACCTTGATGGTGCTAAATGCACGCTCCAAAAGGACTGCGGAAGCTCGCCGTCAGCACGCGCTCAGCAGCAGCGCACACGGATATGGCCGCCAGTGAATACTCCCTATAAGCAGTGTGACTCCGGTTTAAGGGTTGTGACGGGGAACTAAGGACAAGTTTCGCGTATTCCTTTGTTATATGTTTTACGTTGTCATATAGTATTTAAGTGAACCAGAGGAGGGGGTAGTAAGCTCAACGTGCGCTCACAGGTGCCGCACTTCGTGTCGACGCCACCAGAGGACCCCACTAAAGAATGGACTGTAATAGCGCGTGCTTCGCACTCCCTTTGCTGCGCTAGTAGCGTTGTCATCGTTGTCGTCATCGTTGTCGTCGTAGTCGATTTGGCACTGCACTTGATTCAACATACGCGACAGAAAACACGGGTAACATCTGAATGGGGAGTCAGTTCTCGCTACGAAACCGCCAAGTCAAACCTGCTCACCGAAAGCCCTCGGAACGCTCGGATTCTCCAGCCCATGCTACGGCAGCGCCGCTGCGTACATCCGGGACCTTTCCACGCTTGCCGCTTCACAGCAATGCATGGCGCGCATCGGCACCTGATCTCACTACCCCTCCTCTACCTTGATGTGTCTTAAAATGAATACATACATTGCTCAACGAAGCATAACGGATCAACGAAGCGCGTAGCCTCGTGCCTATGTGTAGTTACTCTAGCGGTGCTATAGTAACCAAATGACGGCGTCATGTGTTCATTCTAATCTCTAAAAAATCTGTTCTTGAAAGGTTCTTCAACGCCCAGTACTCTTTCAGCCTGTGAAGAACGATTTCGCCTCAAACACTATCGCCCCCTGGCGCACTAGAAAGGCAAATGGGCGATGAAGAACTCTTGTAGGGGTGCTTATAAAAGCTTTAAAGGCTGCAAATTATGCACAAACCAAGGAATCCCTAAGAGTTCTTTTTTTTTTTTACAAATATTCCTTTAGAGTGTAGGGGAGTTTAACTGTCTATGCTAGCTGTAGATGGTCCTCAAGCAAAGCAAATTGCGTTTGCTTTATCAAGGCCACGCGCTCCGCTGGTCTTTTTTGTTTGGTTCGGACTGTACATACATACTGTTACGAGCCCGAGAGAAAGAAAAACACTAATTGTAACACAAAAAGTACACCAAAGTTTCATTTGTTAGGTATATCTGCCATTGCTAGACTACTCGTGGAAGTTCAAGTATATGAAAGACCCATTCGAGGAGGCAGTTCATGGACGCAATGCTAAGCACGTTTTAGCCAGAGACACCTTAGTTTAAGAGAGATAATAGTACAAATCTTTATTTCCCCACCCCAAGCTAGGTCGGCCTGGTCAAAGAAAATCCAGCATAATCACCTAAAACTGCCTCACCAAGTGGTATTTGGTATTGGAACGTAAACATATCTGACAAAGATTTGTCTGGTTGGGTAAAGCTATATAGTTAAAGGGAATGAACTCCAACCAAAGCGCCTCAAAAAGTACAGCCCAACGTTTCGAAACGCATTTCGTTTCTTTATCGGGGTGACTAAATAGCACGGGCATGAAGCAGCTTTCTTCTCCTTCTTCTTCTTCCCCATCAAGATACCTTTTTTCTGCTTTTCCGGGTGTGCTTATTTGGCAGTTTTTCTTGCCAGGTGACGTAGGTCGTGGACGTACAAGGTTGGCAAGACGCCCAGACACCTGTTTATATTCCCCGGTGTAGGTCGAATCCACGTTGGGTTGAATGTGCTACGCCCACCGTGGCCAGGACTCTAGGAAAAGCCTTTTCCGGATATGTGGCTCCACGTCAAGCACGCGCGTGTTCGCGAAGTCGATTCGATAGTCGAGGCGCTCGCAGTGTCGGCGACGGCGCTGCGCTCATGATCAAATTTTTTGCACGTCGTTCTTATCCTGACGGAGTCGCTCTGGAAAGATCTTCGATTCGCCGATGTAGGAGGCAGGGCACTCTGCGCATGGATAACGGATGGATGGCCAAAAAGGAGATGAAAGATGCTGCATACCAGTGCTATTTAGTCACCCCTGATAAAGAAATAGAATGCGTTTCGAAACGTTGGGCAGTACTTTTTGAGGGCTTTGGTTGGAGTTCAATATTTCTAACTATATGTATATGGTATTGTTGAAAACTGTACAAATCTGACATTTCCGCGTTTTCGTGGCAGGCGGCACGCGACACCCTGGTTGGCATTTGGAAGGACACGTCACTCGATTCGAAGCTCAAGACGTGGCAAGAGTACATCATGCCTATCGCCAAGAAGGGCTACCAGATGGTGCTTTCAGCTCCCTGGTACCTCAACTACATCAGCTACGGGCAGGACTGGAAGAAGTACTACGAGACAGACCCAAGAGACTTCAATGGTGAGACACACTTGTGGGCTGAACACAGGGCTGGCCAGTATCGCGATACAAATGGATTGCAATAGTCGGCTCATTCAATTTACCTGCACCATCCCACACCAGTGCTAAGAAGTGTAGCGCGGGGCAGAAAAGTGTGGGGCAATGTACTCCCGGTTGTGTATTTAGATAGGCTATACTCGTAAATTGAATACAACAGTGCGTCCAGAGTGCAGCTGGTGCAGAAGATGCAATTAAATCTAAGGAGTCAATTATTTTAGAGATACTGTCGAGTACCTCAAGTCAAGTCAAGTCAAGTCATAATGTGTTTTTATTTGTAAACAAGATGTTACATAATAACACTTATTCAGACGGGGGTCCCAAAGTTTTCAAAGAAAACTGTTGAAGGGACCCCTTGGTAATAAAGGGTTAGCGATCAAGTTGGCGCCACTATATATAAAAGAAACAAAATTGGACAAAAAACTTAAAAAAACGAAACATGATTGCGGTATGTACATAATCAAAATATAAAAACAACTGAAAGAGAGGGAAGAAAAGCTAGAAAGTCGAGGAAAAATGAAGGGCACTATCAGTGTGTGTTTGTGTGTGTGTGTGTGATTGTGGGAAAGGTGTGCGTAGGAGAGAAGAATTAATCGGAGGGGAAGGGGGGGTAGGGGGGCATAGAAATTGTTGATGAATCATGCAGATAGTATATGTGCACGTATGGCTTGTTTAAAGATATAGAATGATGACATGGCAGTTAGGCTGTGTGGTAGGAAGTTCCACGTTTTAGTAGCAATGTAAATGAAGGTGAACGCGCCATAATTCGTTTGTATGCATGGTACAGACAGTGACGCTTGGGAATGTAAGCGCAGAGGATACATGGCATCTTGATGAGTAAAACTAATTCAAGAGCATGTTATCTGATTTGTGATTAACTTAAATGTTAATATTGCTATACGATAATCAAGGCATTGATGAGCTGTTAAAATGTTGAAGAAGCGGTATGCAAATTGAGCACTTTCGCGCTTATTAACAAACAGCACCGCTCGTAGTGCTGTGTTCTGGGCAATTTCTATGGGTTTCCGTATTGTTTTATATGTCAATCCATAAATGGATAACCCGTACGAAATGTGAGTATGAATACAGCTACGATAAAGCATTTGGAGGGTCTGTAAGGAAAATATGTGCCGTAGTTTATATAGAATTGGTATATTTCGATATATCTTGTTAGTGTTGTCTTTTACGTTTTGATGCCATGTTCACTGATGGTCAAGTGTTAGTCCTAAAAATTTAGTATGGTACACTCGAGTTAGGCTCATACCTCTAACTCTGTATCGAGATTCTTTTTGAAAATGAACTTATATTTCAGTAGTGAAATGCCATTTCGATGTATCGCCTGTATCGTAATAATCTGCAAGGCTTAGGTATTTAGTTACATATACCCTCCGAAAATCTACTATTGGTTTTTCACGATCAACTGAAAACAACCTTTTTGATGCAAGGGGTTCCAGAATTTAAAATTTGAACCCTGCGTATAGCCCCCTCTGCAGTAGGAAACCTGGTTGCTTAGTATGTTACAATCCCAAAAATTAAAAAGAGAAATGGTGGATTCATGAATCTTCACTTGTAAGAATAATGCACCTAGAACGCCCTCTACCTTTTTCCCTTTAGCAGAGCAAACAATGTAAAGGGGGCGAGGGGAGAGGAGCAAATCGTCAGTCATGAGGTGTAGAGAACTTTAGGAGGGGCGTATCTTCCGGCATGATACCTGTTCAGGTCCCGTGTGTATACGTTGTTCAACCTGTTGTCCTTGGTAAATCAGAAGCACTGAAAGGGTTTAGGACATACAAATTAAACAGGTAGATTAGTCTTGAAATCCTATGATCATATATAGGTTACCTAGTATATACACCAAGTTTCGCGTTTTAGAGCTCTAGTAATTGTACTAATCAACTAACGAATGTTGATTATTTTCGTCTGGCGACCAGGCAACACTGCTCAAGTTAGTCACACCCCGGTGGCGCGATCAGTACGCCTGCCCGCTTACGCCTGTGAGCTCGCTAACCAACCGGTGTAAGTATAAAAATAAAAATAAAAAATCACTGTCTCACTTGGGCTTACACGTTGCACACCACTTACTTGGTTTGTTCAGAGAACTCTTCGTTGCCAAACTTCGCGAAGCTCCTACGGGGCAAACAAAAAAGTGAGCTCACAGAAGGTACCGACGATATACCACACCGATGATGAGCCTGTAGCTCTCAAGTTCTGAGCAACGCTCCAGGCGGGAAAAATAGAATATTTGTAGCAGGGTGTCGAACCGAACCCGAACGGAAAACCGGATCAAAACCGTTAATTTTGACCAAACCGGAACAAAATCGAAACCGAAATCGAACGCCTCATATTGAACCCGAACCGGAACGAAACCATAATCTGATGTGGCGGTTACCGGTTCAACGAAAACGGTTCACGGCCAATTGTGCCAATAATTAGTCTAAATGTGAAAATTTGTAGGCGTATATTTTTCTTACGTTGCCAAGACTAATCCTACATACTGCAAAATATTTTTACATTTCGTGTTTATTGCACACGTAATAAAAAATATATCTTCTGGAGAACTCCAACTTTCCTTTGTTTCTTGGATCGGCCCTGGCGGTGCGGTAGCGGTGGCGGCGGCAATTTCAAGGCACCGCTTGGCCGCTTGGCTACGAAATGTCCAAGTGTCGGAGCGGATTACGCCACTGTAGGCAAGGAGGCCTACGCGTCCGTGGATATTTGAGCTCAAGAAGGGCCGTAGTTGCAGTCGATGAGCCATTTAGCCAATCAAGCACCGAGAGTGCGCCACGTGACCATCCGCTTGAGTGCAGCGCCACCCTGAAGGAAGGGGGGACAAGTACCGCGCTGCATCGGCAGTATAGTTGGTAGGGTTGCCTGTGGTTCATTTCAATGAAAAACTATTTTCTTCTACGTACTCAAAATGTTACCTTACAAAAAAAAAAAAGATGGGTTGTCGGAGGCAACGTTACCGCGGCGCGTCAGCGAATCATCGCCGACGCGCCGCGCACTGGATGGAGACAAGGCCGACGAGGGGGGGGGGGGGGGGGGAGGGAGGGGAGGGAGGGGAGGGGAGGAGAGAAAAAAATGCGTCTTTGTTTATTTTTTTTTTTTTGTATGTTTGGCAGGCTAGTCAGGCCAGCATGTCGCCTGTTCAACCATTTTCTCATTTTCGTCTGAAGTCCTCTTTCATCGTCTTCAACTGAGCATTCGAGAAACGTCGTTCGCTGTGGTGGCATTACCGGAACCTTGTTCGGTGGCTGACAGGTACAAATGAGCCGGTCTGAGTCTCTGAGACCGGGATATTTGCATAAAGCTTTGTTTGCGACAAAGCATCGCCACGAGATTTTTAGAACAGCGTTTTTCCGCCGGGACCTGGAGCGCTGTCTAGATGCAGTCACATTTCATTATACGTGCGTGTTCACGTGCCCGGTCATCATCAATCGTCTGAACAACTCGCATACAGAGATCATATACGCAAACCAAGCACACAGAAACACAACCGTGAACGTATGCTGCCCCCATTTTGTTTTCTTTATTGTGCTACACCAATCACTGGCGCCGTCGATTTCTCTTCCGCCTTTTAGAATCGCCTTTTTGAAAGCGCGCGCTTAATGATGACTTTGATGGAACAGCGCGGATGAACAGTCACACTCGCATGCACACAAAAGGAGACAGACTCGCAGCGCTGACTTACAACTCAGTCCTATATTTCTTCTTGCTCAAATCTTCAACTTCTTCACAGGTTGACTACACCCCTCTTAAATAATTTGGAGTGGGCCGATTGATAATGGAGGAGTGGCTTTTTCCCCCTTGGAGCGTATGTCCAACAAGTATGCTGAGAAAGAAAACACAGTCTGAGGTCTAAGAACCTTAGGGACCCTTCAACCGGGAGTTCATGGGTTATGTCCAAATGATCCGAAGAATTCTTAAATATCGAGAGGACATTGGACACAGTACTTGAAAAGTCGTTGTCATCAGGGACCAAGAAAATCAAAAAGTCATCTACGTAGCAGATTACTTTTAGTTAAGAGGGGTGTAGTCAACCTGTGCCTTAAAGATGCCATCACAAGGTCATGCCCGTATACTGTAAAAACCAGCTTTGATGCGCAGATAGCTAGGCTACTATCAGGGGGGTACTCTAATCGCGTATTAATATCTGTCGCAGAGAAACTCCTCCAGAAAATCAAAAATCCCAATTTAATCCAACGTAACAGGAGGGACAGAAGCCAAAGGCCAGCGGTTGTGCCTTATATTCACCACATTTCTCATGGTCTTAAAAAGATAGGCAACCGCGTAAACATTAACGTAGTATGTTCGGCTCCATGCAAGCTCTCTAGCTTATGCAAGAAGGTCAATTCTTCCTCCGATAGGACATTAGGTTGTACCAAAAAGCACCACTCCCGGTTTGTTCCATGCTCTGAACGGGTGGTTTATGCCATTCCCCTCTCATGCGGAACACAGTATGTCGGGCAGACCGGGAGGTGTCTCAATGACCGGTTACGAAAGCATCATTACAATTTTTCGGGTGTTCGGCGGACCTGAATAACTGCACTGTCATTGCCAGAAGTGGTAATCAGCTGACAAGAGAGATTATCGAAGCTGAAAAAATAGCCAGATTGGACAACCAATGTATTAGTGTATCATCCTTACCTTTGTCAAAGAAAGAATTGGATTATCTAGAGATAGTCATCAAAGCACCAATGGTGATGAGAAATTTGTCGCTTAATTTTTAATTTAATTTTTAATAGTATTTTTAGTTGTCTTTTATTTATTTAATTATTAGTTATTTACTAATGTTTATTGGCTATTTGGTCTCTGGTGTGTAAAAAATTTTAAATAGTTCTCATTAACGGCAAAGGTGAAGAAGTTGAAGATTTGAGCAAGAAGAAATATAGGACTGAGTTGTGAGCCAGCGCTGCGAGTCTGTCTTCTTTTGTGTGCATGTGAGTGTGACTGTTCATCCGCGCTGTTCCATCAAAGCATGAATTACCAACTTGCCCAAGCATCCACATTAAGGATGACCTCAGCAATAATTTATTTTATTAGAATTATACTTTTTTTCACTAATATGATTGCTTAGAGTTAATTATGAGCGGTTCAAGAAATTAATCTCTTAGTAAAAAGAGACCATTCAGGCTGCAATTATTTGCGGCAGTCGGCACAACCTGGTCCACTGCGCTTCATAGCCTATGCTTCCGCTTTTTAGCATAGCTAAGCATTTCTGTGGAATTTAAGAAGTGAATTCGTTTTCGTAAACAACTTCGATTGGTGTTCAAAGCGCTCGGGCACCCATGCGCCCATAGCTTTGACTGTATTGCCACAGAAAGTAGTAATGATTATTAACCCTACTACCTTGGCTAGTAGCATCCGCATTTACTGCCCGTGGAGTATTTGAGGCGAAACAGATAGTGAAAAGGTAGTAACGGCTACGTCGAAGTAGCAAGTGCTACAGTTACTATCTTTGTGCTCAATTTGTTCTAAGAGTGTGGCACACGAAAACCAACAGGGCTACTGACACCGAAACGTCAGCTCAGGGCCGTATAAAGAAAGCGAATGTAATCTTAGAGTTGAACGTAGTGGAAACGGATGTGACGTCACAGTCAAACTCTAGTCAGGTAACCGCGGGAGGCAAATAAATCATGGTTCGCATATTATATAAAAAAAAAAAAAAGCAACAGCGTTCTGAGGGATAGGACACATGTCACATTGAGTGCGGTTTCACACAATCTTCAACGATCATCTACTAGCCCAACCGTACCACGTTGCTAATCCGCATATTATGGCGTGGGGCGCTTTGGTGTCTTTAATCGCTTTGTAGTGGAATTAATGGCCCTATTGAATTAGCGTGTAGTCATTATTGTCACGAATATATATCTGTTAGCAAAGTAGTCCAACAACCTGCCTCGTCGTTGACCCATCCAGGCACCGACGAAGAAAAGGACCTGGTGGTGGGAGGCGAAGCCTGCATGTGGGGAGAGTACGTGGACGGCACCAACCTCATCTCCAGGCTCTGGTAAGCACCGAAAGTACAGCATCACCGCGCGCTGACTTTGGAGTACGCCGTGGTCTGGAGTACAGTGGCTAGGAGGCGTCTTTGACTGTTTGTTTAGTTTCACATCAAGGAGGTTATAATGGGAAGAAGGTCACGCCCATATTCTTCATATAAAGAGCGACCTGTAACGGATGTAGTGGTGGCCACAACGTGCCCCCTCAGTCTCTAGGCCAATGGGAAACTAAGTTAATGGCCGCCGCAACGTAAATACGGGGCAAACAACCGCGCTGTTATCACATTGCCTTGGCAACGCGGTTGTTTTCTCCATATTTACATAATAGCGTCCAGTGAATCGGTGTCGAACAGGTGAGACTCGGAGCCCAACACTTTTCTGGCCGGCAGGAAGTCGGCTCTCAACACCGCGCGCTTATAACGTCGTCTAGAGCGAGTCTTCGTAGCGCGGCTTTGAAAAGAGAGCATATCAGGCGCCGTACGCACGAACGCAGGGTCGACGATATGCTAGATTTGAACATATCGAAAATCTAGTCAAACCTTTCTGGGGATCCATGTCTCAAGCCAACCGAAGATATCTGCGGGCCGGTCGCCCAGTTGACAGGGGCCAATAGGAAGTTTCGTAGATGGTTTTCGCCCTCCCGCCACGCTCTCCGCAATCCGCTACGATAACCGGAACTCTACAGTCAAGGCCATCGGCGCGCAGGCGCAGTAGCGGCCTCTTCGTTGCGGAGGGTTTAGCGGGGAGGGAAACGCGGTCTACGAAAACTTCCCAATGAGAGGTTTAGTCGGACCTACGACGCTCGACCCCAAATCCAAGTTACACGACACCCTCGATTGGAATTTGACCCCGATAACAACAGAAGATTTCAAGCTCGGCACTTTGTCTCGACACCGCATATTGCCTCGCTCCGGGGCAGCCAGGGATCGCCCATGGACTCGATGAAGCCCGCGATAAGTCCCAACTTTTGGTGTCTAGCAAAAAAAGGACCTTTCGCCGGTTCCGATTGGCTGTCCTCGTGATCTCGCAGAGTTGTTACTGACAGGCCGTGGCTTCTTGCTTCGTCATATTCCGTATGATAATAAGATGCTCGGGACTGACCTTCAAAAGGTGTTCGGCCTCCTTGGTGCGCATGTTCTAGGACGGTCGGGACCCGATGGATTCTGAAAAGCGCATCAAATGAGCCCCACAGGGAGAATCATTCTATGATTGTTCTCTTTCGCAGGCCTCGTGCTTCGGCGGTTGCCGAGCGACTCTGGAGCAGTGCTGAGTTCAACGACACCGACGACGCCAGCTTCAGGCTGGACCAGCAACGCTGTCGAATGCTCCGGTGAGTCAGTGTGCACGTCACACGCAGCTACTAACTTGCACAAAGAAGTCAGCGTTTCCCGCATCGTGCCTGCGCGTGCGCCGTGCCGACAGTAGCGCCAGCTCAGCCATCAGAGATACATGGCTTGCACCTGACGTCGTGGCACCCTGCTTCTGCTCATTCCTATTAGTTCGTGCCAAAGAAGAACAGAACTGCAGTGGAAAGAAAAAGGGACAGACAACGTCTCAAACTCTGCTAAACACTTCATTGCCTCTACGTCTTATATACACCTCCCCCGGACGTCGAACGTCGCCACCACCACAACGGTTGATCACTGAACTACGAACAATACACCGGAATGACAATACACCGAATCGCAACCAATACATAAAAAAGCGGTATGCAAAAAGAAACACAAGCTCGTCACCACCGCACCCGGAAGGACTTCGACGCGGACAATGTAACACCAGCGCTTGGAAACACAAAAAGACCGCCTCTAACTTACCCCGCTTTCCCCGGAACTGAACCATGAATCACAACCAGTCGCCAACAATGCCCCCCATTACGATCCCGAACCCAACAATGCAAACAACTGCGAAGCAGCCGCCTCCCCTTCTACGTTCACCCCACACTGGGTCTTTACTGTCGAAGAAACTTTTTTGACTCACTTCCAATTTGCAGTGACGCTTGGCTAATGCAATTTCTCGATGTTTTTAAGCGAACAGTTTCTCGCACCACACGTCTCATCTCCTCACGCTCTTTGCGTACGATTTCTGTCTCTGACCAGTTCGCTGTACATGCATTACACTCCTGGAGATGCCTCGCTAGTTCAGAGTTTGAAGCGTTAATCCGCACATTCCGTTTATGTTCTGTCAACCTATCGTTAATGCATCTTGCAGTCTGACCAACATATTTAAAGCCGCATTCCAAAGGAACTTCATACACTACTCCACTGACACATGGAACAGATCTGTCGCGATACATTTTTTTACATTCTTTCTGTCCCGCGTCAAAAGAAGTCAGTTTAGCTTGTTTGAAATCGCATGTGAAAACGGTGGTTAACCCCAAATCTCTCTGCACATGCCTTCAAGTTATGCGAAATTGCGTGAAAATATGGAATGGCAGCCCGTCGGATCTTGACATTTCGCTTATCTTCGATTTGTCGAGCAAGCTGCCGTTTCATGAAGGATTCTCGATAGCCGGCCCTCTCCAGTCTTCCCCATTGTCTTTGAAAAGCCTCTCCAGTCTTCCCCATTGTCTTTCAAAAGACAATGGGGAAGCATGTGAAAACGGTGTTAACCCCAAATCTCTCTGCACATGCCTTCAAGTTATGCGAAATGGCGTGAAAATATGGAATGGGGGGCAGCCCGTCGGTTCTTGACACTTCGCTTATCTTGCTTATCTTCGATTTGTAGAGCAAGCTGCCGTTTCATGAAGGATTCTTGATAGCCGGCCCTCTCCAGTCTTCCCCATTGTCTTTGAAAAGCCTCTCCAGTCTTCCCCATTGTCTTTTCAAAGACAATGAGGAAGACTGGAGAGGGCCGGCTATCAAGAATCCTTCATGAAACGGCAGCTTGCTCTACAAATCGAAGATAAGCAAGATAAGCGAAGTGTCAAGAACCGACGGGCTGTCATTCCGTATTTTCACGCCATTTCGCATAACTTGAAGGCATGTGCAGAGAGATTTGGGGTTAACACCGTTTTCACACGCTTCAATCGACCATTTTGGCGCCGAAACAGATACGGTGGAAGGGGTTTCAGGGATGCCACCCCCGTCTCCCAAGCGGACGCGCCGCGAATTACTAACGAAGTTAACATGCGCCTAGGTCGGGACGCGCTACCTGAAATCACCGCTGAGGAATGGTTGTATAAAAACAATATTAATTATGCTGCAGAACCTTGTAAACTAAATATTTTAGAAAACATCACGCGCCCTTCATTTTGTACTAAACTCCAATAAAAGTTACTACAAAAACAGTTTTTTTCGTTGGTTTTTACGCAAAACATGCTTTCTAAAAGCTCAAGGTGACCACAGTACAGACAAATGATAAAGAGTGGCGCTGTTGTCGTATTTAGCTCGGTCTCGGTGGACGCCAGTGGGCCAGGTTTCAACGGTGAGTTTCCTAACTGAGGGTTCTAGTAACGTTGGTACGTGGTAACTGCGAGGCCACCACAATGGCCGCCGCTGTGACGTCAGTGCAAGCCATCTATCCGCAACTCCGACGGCGTCCATTTCATCCCTCTTTTCCGTTTCATACTTGAAACGCCAGGTCACACCGTTTTTTGCTGCGCACGATACATCTTCTTTTTCTTTTTTTAGTAAAGGGTTTTTTTTTTGCAGTTGATCGAGGCGACGCAGATTTAGTAAAGGCTTACGACTTAAAAGGCAGCGACTGAAAAATAAACGTTAGGGAAGCAAAGATAACTAAGCACAGTAACGTGGTAATTTGAGCTAGTTGTTACTTCAACATGACAAAACAGCGCACGGAACGAACACGGAGGAGGAGAAAACAACAGATAGAACGAAAGGGCGCTGTTTCGTTCTACCTGTCTTTTCTCTTCCTCGGCACTCTACTGAACCGGAGTCGAGGGACAAATAAAGTTTCGTTATTATTTTCCTTTCGATCTGTAGTGCACCGGGCTTCAGAACCTTTTGTGCGCAGAAGGTAGTGAAGAGTGGCCAACAGTCACACAGGTCGAAGTTTTGCGGAATATACTCTTGAAATGTTTAACCTTATTATTGTTCTTTTCTCATCGAAGACCGTGCAGTTAACTGTTGAAATTAAAAGCTTTAGCTAGGTGCCGCGATCCGCCGTCTGGTTAAAAAGGTTCAGTCGTAGCTATCCATCCACAAATCGGATGAGTGGTAGCTGCCCGCGCTTATCTCCTTCGCATCTTTTTCGTATGGTGACGTCGCCTCATCGGGAGTCGCGAACACAGACTAGTCGTCAGGAACAATCACGGCAATTCCCCACGTTTATGGAATTATTCTAGACTTTACGGAGTTGCTAAATATTACGCAAAGTATAGGCGTAAATGGTAAAACCGAATTATTGCCGAGGGTATCTCGTCGTAACCGGTAGATAATAGAATTTTTTTTTGTAGACCGCAGCTTTGTAACCGCGCGGTGTGTTATAGGAAACGTCTCATAATGCAACGCGCGCCTCCTACTCCTCCCCTCCCCTCCTCTCTACCTCCTCCTTTTGCCTCCTCCATTTATCCTACCTGCTCCTCCTTCCTCCTCCTCTTCCCCTCCTCCTCTATCCTCCTCCCCACTGTACCCTCCCCTCCGTAGTCTCCCCTCATCCTCCTCAAGAGCTGCGCTTTAATTCGGCATTACAGGGAGCTGTAGACGTCTTTAATTTTTTCATCACATTCCTCGTCGGCATGGGCGTAACTGAGTAGGTCACCGAACCACGCCAAGTGTGCAGCTTTGTGGTGCGGATACCTGTACTGTCCTTGTGGACAGACCTAAAGTGAGTGGCGAACAAATCAGGCGCGCTCTTCGCATCGCTTCCCTGGGAATCCAGAACTATTTCGGACCTATATTTCTCCCTAGGCGCCCGACAGCGTGCCTTAAGAAATTATACGGATTTAGCGGTACGCTTGGCGATCCCGGTTGGATTAATATTGGTTCACATCGCTTTCTGTAGCTCTTGAATCCTTCCTCACACTGTTTAATGTTTCCTGAGCAAGAAGTCCTTTCTTCTAAGTAGCGGTTCTAGTTCACAGCAAAAGCAGTTAGAAAAGCTAGGTTTCTTAGCTTCCCGGATATTTCTTGTATGTCTGTTGATTTTGTCGCTTACATCGGAAGATTCCAGAACCATGGCCATCAGAACAGACGGCCAATACACACAAGAGGCGGTGGTATATTCCGATGTTCCCTCTCACAATAGTATAGACCTCTCCCCTCCGAGCCTTGGCGGATGCGTTGTATTCGTGTTTTTCGTAGAGTTTCGCCGCGGTTTCTTGCCTCATTTCGTAAAGTGTAGTGTGATACTTATATTTTATACCTATATCCATTTTATCATGATATTCACAAGTGCTGCAATTAAGTTTATCACGATTTGTTTAAATTCACCGTCGGCGTAAAAAATGCGTGGGAGGATGAAGCGGAGGAATCAGCGTTACAACTGAGCCACATTGAATATAAAGATGACTAAGACAGCACGAGGGATCGAAGGTGACTGACTTGTAAAAACTCAGGTTTGTTTACTAATAGTGGCCAAACATTCGCAATAAGAAGCGCGTATACTTATGATCGTGCATTTAGGATCGGAAGGTGACCAGGAGAAGTTTCTTGGCCATAGCTTTTTACAGGAAAGGAGCTGCGCCTCGTAATTTTACAAGAAAAAAAAACGACCTGTGAAATACTGAATGGAAAGCGCTGAATAAACATAGACGAAGAAGGGGACTTCGTCCTTGTTTATTTGGTGCTTTCCATTCAGTGATAATAATAATAATAATAATAATAGTTTTATTAGTACAAAATCATTCACATACATTAATTACTGCCTCACGAAAGCACTTGCGTGCTTGTGTGTGAGAACAGGCAGTCCATAAAAGAAAAACAAATCAAGCAGAAAAAGAAAACAGAGAAGAAAAAAAACAAGGGTAAAATAAACACATCTCAATTTTGACACCACATGTTACACACTTAGTTTTATGTAAACATTGCACCTTACCGCGAAATAAAAGGACAGATTAAATAAAATATGTCACACGCTTTCCGAATACGGTCAAAGCTAAAAAAAATAAACTGTCTATGCTGTTTGCCCTATACAACCATATATTTTACATTGCACTTCGCAGAAAGTTGGGTACACCTAGAAGAACACAATGGGTTTGTTAACAGAACAAAAAGCGACAACAAAAATGCATTTTCCCCTGTCCTCTTGATCTATGATATGTTTGCAATAGTACGAAAATATCTCGAACACAAAGAGAACACAAGACCACTTATATGTAAACATTCAAACGTAAATGTCAGAAAAAATATTAACACTCATTTTCACTTTTGC